CCGCATATGGGTACAACTGCATATCTAAGGGGTTACCCGCTTAAATAAGCGATACATGATCTTGTTCTGGACACATCAGGCTAAACTCTGATGCCGGACCTTTTCTAGATAGAAACCAGACTCCTTTTGGACCATGACATCATTCTGACATCATAGGTAGGAGCTAGGCTCAGGCACTAGGCCATAGGCCGGTCAATTCTGGACCCTAGGCCCAGGGCAGGGCAGGGCCAGACTATGACATCATATATGACATCATAGAGCACATGATACTTAGTAATCCTTACCCAGCTAGTTACCAGGGGTCCATTATCGGTCCCTGGGGGGTTTTCCCTCATGTATATAAGGCAGCATCCTGGGGCACCCTGTCCCCCAGTTCTATTCACTTCATTGTTGCGCTTAACAGCATTACCTCCCCCATACTTAAGTGCTTTATCTCCCCCCCTTACTATCAAGCTATAAGGTGGGTTTATAGGTTTTGTGATACTTCTATCGAAACAGTTTCCTCACACAGCTCACCGGTGATGAACCAGCATGCCATCGCCACATTAAAGAAAAAGTATATACTGCCATGAACATGCAGCATAAGACCAAGAAAAAGACCCCAATGATGATGAACATTGTAGCGATGTCCGCCATGCTGCCGTCTGTGACGCTTTGCAGCGAATAAGCCGACAGCGCGACCATGAAGCCAATCAGTGACCACATTAGTAGAGCGGCGGGGAGGCTGAGGAGGATGGAGTGGCCAGGCAACCCCAAGATTTGCTTGCGAGCATTGTAGATGTACGCGAACTGTTTTGGTAATTTCTTGAGCAAAGACTTCCAAAACAGACAATGGTGACTTACCGTGTGTGAAGAAGACAATTTGGTGTTGTGTTGGTGCCGCCATACGAAAAACACACCGGTGGTGATGCTGCCTAATGACGCAAAGGCGGACATGATGGCGCATACTCTCGCCATCTGATAGATATTCCCTACAGACAGCAGACACACAGTAGCTCTGCGAACTTAAAATTAGCGGGTTAGAGGCACGATAGCTGTACAACCCGTAGGCAACACAGCTTACGAAAGCAGTACGGTAGACTATATAATAAGGAGTATCAGCAAATTACTGGGAGATTAAATAGATGGCACTCACGACTAGGCTAAAATCAGAATATTCTTTCGTAAGTTGGTCGGTGTATGTTTCCCAGGCCTGATGCAGGCTGGACAAACGTCCCTGAAACTCACTAGCTCTTTGGACGTGCTCGAGATAGGAGTGCGGAATACCACATAATGGACCGTTAATCAGGATCCATAAGCAGTTCCGAGACATCCTAGATGAGCTTTGCCAGACAGAGTGCGGGCGCGACGTGCTTCGCCGATTTATCTCTGTTTGCTGAAATGTGAGCACGCCATAGCGCTCCGCCCTTCGGAAGCTGTCTGGAGTTCCATTTATTATACGTAATGTCACGCAAATAGGAAGGACACTTGCATGTCTCTCTTAGTATCCATGCGATGAGGATGTTTGTGGAAACCATGTTTCGGTCTGAGGTGTTATCTGAGCAGACATGGCTAGCCGGTCAGACTATAATATACGAAATACAGACTGGGTACCCACAGTGTGGTACGTCCAGAACCCGTAGAAGCTCCTCACACTCCGCTTTAGTGAACGGGACGGTGCTTTTCGTGCCTTGAGTGAGATTATCTAACCACTTGTAAGAGGTAATTCCAGTGAAGACGGCGAAGTAGAAAACTACCTAAATAATAGGACTTGACGATGTCCACCGTGTACATGAACGCGCCTGGAGGAATCGAGACGTGGGTAGGATGCCGTGACACAAAGTTCCAGTACAGCTGGCGACAGCGTAGCACTGACCACCTTAGCTTGTGGTAGGGTTCTCGATCTGATACAGCGAACTTACCTCGAGATAACGGAATATCACGGATAGGTTGAGTTACGGAAGAGAACTCGAGGCCATATTCCGCGGTGCATTGGGTGTGGTCAACGGCTAAATAGAGAGCGGAATACGAGTTGAAGCCAACGATACAGAGTTCCTGCCCGTCGGATAAGAGTGCAAGATTCTCTTTTTTGCAGATACTTGTGATCCTCTCTAGGGTTTCAGGGACCCGTATGTCTTCGTCGACAACAAGTCTGTACTCATCACACCGGAAATATACCCATCCACGGGGGTGGATGTACATGGTCCATCCCGAAGGAATACGGTAATTAGTGAAGAGCGCTGGCAGTGGCAGGGTGGTTTGGGTTGAAGGAGCCGGTGTCGTCGGTACAGGACTCGGGCATGATGTGGACGTCGAATGCGGCTGCGCACTCGAGGAGGACTATATATGACCGATGACATGATTAATGCATGTGTGCGAGGGATCTCGTAGGCTGTGAGCTTCATGATGGATGGATGGCTCTGAGTTTGACTTCGTGTCTTCGACCTTCGAGTCGCCTTGTACTGATATATGCTCTCATATTTTCAAGGTATCCGCCTCTAAGCGCTGAGCCGATTATCCTGATAGCCTTGTGGGTGCTTCGATCGGTGGAGGTCATGTCCCTTCCTGTGATTGGCTCACAGTTGTCTGCCGCCGCTACACGTATCCTTGCGGCAAGGATGGTATGCAGGCACCGAATACGCACCACTTGGCATCCCTATATATATTCGTTATGGCAGGACCCTGAGTAAATTATCCCTAACTAGCCCTCCGTGCAACTGTAAGCATGTCGACCATTCCAGAGCTCCCTTCGAAGCGCGTTCCTTACGGTAAGTGACTTGTGCTGTAGGATACAGCTGTATAGGAGTCCTCAAATAACGCACCGGTTCTGCAGTACGCCTGGGCAAGTCAGGCTTGAAAGTATCCAGAATCATACTGGGGTGCATGACCTACGGCGGTGGTAACTGGGCCGGGCAGAATTGGCTGCCCGATGAGGAAGAGGCCGTCAAGCATATCAAATACGCGTGTGTTCTTACGCTTTGTCGTATCCCATACTGAGATTAACGCGTCGCATATCCCATGCACTTCACGATTGTTCAGGTATGATGCTGGAATACAAACATTCGATACAGCCAACGTAAGCAAGACTGAAAATTCTGCCCTAGCACCCTTATGAATGAGAATGTATGCGTGCAGATGTATTCGAACGGAGGCTCCGAGGAGGTCCTAGGCAGGGCGATCAAGCAGCTAAATCTCCCTCGCGAGGAAATTGTAGTCATGACAAAGGTAATTACTTAAAGGTTGCGAAAGCGCAGGGCCTACGTTTGTCTGAACCTTGCAACAGTTTACTGGCTATGTATTCCCAAACTCGACCGTCGACATGGTACTCGATCCGGCGACAATCGAGGGCGAGGGCGTAGTGCGCTGCGTCAACCAATGGGGACATAGCCGCAAGGTGCGCTTCAGCCCGTGTCTTCAGTCGACAAAAAGATTGACCAAAGGAATGAAAAGCATATCTTCGACACCGTTAAGGCGAGCCTAAAGCGCTTGCAGTTAGACTACATAGATGTACTCCAAGGTAAGGAGTCTCAAGTGTCATCGTGAAGCCTTGTATTAGAGCTTTGCTTTTACAGTCCATCGATACCGAGAAGACTACCCGATGGAGGAGCTGATGGAAGCTCTCCACGATGTGGTCAAGGCGGGATATGTCCGCTACATCGGTATGAGCGGTTGCTACGCCTGGCAGTGTGAGTAGCGGGAGCATTGACAGCTCTTACTGAGTGTGGCGCTCACATTATTTTATCTCCGTCCCAGTCCACATCATGCAGAGTAAGGGCCACTTCGCTCGCAGCACCCACCATGATCTGACAGGACCGTCTGCATAGACTATGCCATCAACAACCGCCTCACGCCCTTCATCTCCATGCAGGACCGACACAGCCTCGTCTACCGCGAGGAGGAGCGCGAGATGTTCCCTACGCTCGAGGTATGCGGCGCTCTGGCTGAGTGTGCATAGCTGACAGCAGCCAACGTGTGCCAGCATTTTGGCGTCTCCTCTATCCCCTACCATTCGCTGGCCCGGGGAATTCTGTGCAGACCCTTCAGCCAGCAAGCGGCCACCAAGAGGGGCGAGGATGCGTCAGTATCCGTTCAATTCGGATGGAGATCGCTCTGACCTAGATGCACGATCAGGGCTAAGCGATCAGCCAAGTTTTTGGAGGCGAACCCGCACGTGGAAACGATTGTGAATCGGTGTGTGCATTCCTCGCAATATTTATTGCATAGAAGACTCATGTATGTCTCAACCTCAGCGTCGAAGAGATCGCGAAGAAGCGCGATGTGAGCATGGCCCAAGTTGCCATCGCCTGGGAGCTCTCGAAGAGTGGTATGTGTACCATTATATGCGGAGGCAATCTGTTCATCGCTACTTTCACCGCAGTTGTCGCAGCCCCTGTTGTGGGCACCACCAAGCTGGAAAATATCAAGGACATCATCGGTAAGGGATACAGCAAAACGTTGTCTGCTACCCACAGCCGCTGATCCCGCGGCATATACGTATCTTCCAGAGGGTGTCTTCCTCAAGCTGTCTGAGGAAGAGACCAAGTACCTGGAAGAGCCGTACAGACCAATGGACCTGATGATTTGAAGACGGGTGGAAGCCCTCGTCCTGGTCTCGAAACTCCGTGTGGCATTCTCGAGCCGTGCTGCATGATTTTGCTGCATTGTTTAGATTAAGCTCATGTACCATTAGATCTCGTGAACATACCTGCATTTTTAGGTCTGCTTTCTCTCTTAGCCTCCACACTAGTTATTTCCACGTGTATATCTGAACGACACGTCTCGACCACAGATGCTGCAGAAGGCCAGGGCGACGACATCGAGTTCAACCGAGGCTTTCAGATGTCCGAGACACGCGCCAGTAGCAGCGAAGGAGACAGTATGACGCCCCTCCTGTCCGAGAAGGTAAACGGTGATGCTCCAGCGTAGCGGACGACGCAACTACTTTGCGTGCTCCTTGCGTCCCGTTACAGACAATGGCACCGTACTAGTAGCCCGAAGGTCGAGGATCCGGACAACCATCTCCTGGCCTGCCTATATGATAGAAGGACCTCTACCGCAGGAGCATGTCTTCACGACCTCATAGTATGTCTTCCCAGACTTCAATGCCTTCGCGCCAATACATTTACTATGTTAGGGTGTCGTGAAGATATGTCGCCGATACATTCACTGTCAGGGCCGGGGATATCAGAACGAAGTGCAAACCGTTGGACGTCCAGATGAATTGAGTGTCTGTCTATGGGATTACACCGGATGGCTCTACTGTAGTATGAAGCTTGTAAGATACAACGATGCGTGGTAGATGTGAATAACGACATAAGGCACACGACAGCACTGGCAGGCCCAGAATGCAAAGCACCATGAAGACGGAGGGGAGGGAGTTTCATAACATGCTTGAGGCATTATGAGAAGAAGTAGAGCGACTTCTTGATGGTGTTAACGTCGAAACTACCCTTCAGTGGAACCGGGGGCAGGACGTCGATAAGCTCGACGAATTTGCCGGCGATGGCAGGGTCCTCCACTTCGCCAACAGGGTCCTCTTCGTCCAGCGCATCTTCGTCGTCATTCTCCGCTTCGACAACTGGCTTCTGCTTGGGGCTTTTACGCCTGCCACGTTTTGCCTTGACTGGTTCTCCGTCCTCGTTCTCAACCGGCTGGGGAGGATAAACCTCTAACTCCTTGATCGCAGCGGACGATCCCATCAGGCCAAGTTTTGCCAGAGCAGTGCCTTGCCTCAAGGTCATTAGAGGTATCTTGTAGCCTTTGTACCGCTCGCGGAACTAGAGAAACTTGAATAACAAGACATTGAGGAGGACAAGGCACACTCACCTCATCCATCAGCCTATTCAGAACATCTGAGGAATGTAGGGCGATGAAGGTATCACGAATGATGGCAGACATTTGGTCAATGCTGCCAGCGTGGGTCCAGTACGAGTCGTGCACGGACGCAAATGTCAAGCCTTGTGTCTGAGAACGTTATGTTAAGCACGACAGTAGAAAAATTGACGTTGAGCGCACATACCTTGCACTCCAGGGCCGTCAACATCATGTGCGTGGCATCGAGACTGTGGATGAAGTTGGGCGGGAATGCGGACGCCTGCTTTGCCGCATTGACTGGCGCATCAAACGTTAGAGCCAAGTATATAAACAACTCTTTCTAGACGACGCACCACTGGTTGGAGAGGTGGGGTCCGAGATGTAGACCGTCTGTAGCGAGGTCATGATCTGCCTGCGACGCGTTGCCCTGTACGGCTGGACGATAGGCAGGCCTAGCGGCGTCGTCCACACAACCGACGTCATCTGCTCTTTCTTCAGGCGATTGAGGATCGTGTCTTTTGGCCCGACTTTTGCTTTGGGAGAACGAGAGATCGGCTTATTAATCGCAGCCTCAAGACGGTCAGGCGGGATCGACTTTGCGATGAGGCGCGCAGTCGTGTTGAGCCAGGTCTGGATGTCCTTCGCGCCCTTGAAAAGATCACCGATGCACCCAAGCACCTTCTTTGCGACGTACGACGCCGCGAGCCAACACTCTTCGGCGGGGATGTCGCCCCTATCTTTCAGCTGCTTCTCGATCTGGTCGCGTGCACCAATAAATGTCACGCCGTAAACTGTTGTCATGACCGTTTGCTTCACGACCTTGCGAGAGATCTTCCCTTGAAGCATCTTCGCATACTTGTCGCCCTTCAGTAAATCCTCCGCCATAGCCTGCTCAACCATGTTGGCAACATAGGTGTACACGTCCGACGGCCGGTCTGTGACATCAAGATTGACCTGCTTGGCACCTTGCACGTCACCACCAAGTGCAGCGTAATGCTGCAAACCGTTACACGTACCGTCCTGGTGGACGGGGAGGGCGCACATGTACTCATACGGGTTGGGCGACTCAAGGGCAGCCTTGAGCTCCATGCAAGTAGCAAGGCATTGCCATGCGTCGTCTGCTTGAGTCCACCATTTGCGGCCCTAGAGGCGAGATGTGAGGAAGTGGTCTTTTATAGTCAATACGACTCACCTCCAGTGGATTCTCGACACTATCGTAGATGTCGTCGAGATGTTCGTGGACAAACTGAACTCGCTCGTCGAAGCTACCTTTGTCGTAACCATACAAGTTTGCCAGATGGATTTTCAGCCAACGTAGACCACGTTCTCCCAGGGGTTTCGCTTCGCCGAATTTCAAAAGCCCACGACTCAAGTCATCTCCAATGTGACTTAGATGTGGAGGAAGAGGGTACGCGCGTCCACGGAAGTCAACATTGTGGGGGAAGTATATGGTGTCACCCAAGAACTGGTATGAAATTTATTAACATGGATAAATCCGCCTTGCGAAGTAAGTACTTACAGCACGAGCAATTTCGATCTTGTAGTTGACGCTGCATCGATCGGAGTGATTGTTCGCCTTACCGAGGATGTGCATTTTCTGCCTCTGGAGATAAATGATGCGAGCCTTGGGGTCCGTATCGATATTATCAGGTCGGCCGGGCTCAGGCAAATCATATACAGCAGGTGGAATCTTGCACCACCGCTGGCCTGAGTTCCAAACCTGTAGCACAAGTTCAAAAATCTTGCGATTAATTGACCATGGTGTGCTGCCGAGGACGTCAAGACTGGCATAAATCAACTCAAGGTTGCCTTGTGTAGAGGCATGCCGAAGGTAGGTTTGTTGCTCTTGCGACTCCTTAAACCGCATCGCCCACGCTACATGTCATCAATGAGCAACACCGGTTCAAGGCTGAGTGGATATCACTCACTCGTATTGTAGAGATAGCCTCCTTGATCGTAACTTAGCCAAGGCTTGGGCTTTACAAGCATAGGCAAATGACGCGGGTGCAGCGTCTCTCGAAGCGCATCCTTAGCCATACGCTCAGAGATTTCGGGATTTAGCTTGATCACGCCGAGCTTGTAACCCCTCAGATACTCGTACGAGTGGAAGAACGCCGGCTGTTCCTCCGTACTGGCAAGATGTGGTTAGACGTAGGATGAGAACTGAGTGATAATCATCGCTTACACGATGTCACCTGTTTTCCTGTCGTTCATGGTGCGCGTGACAGTCGCGACATCCATCAGGCAGTCTACAAGGAAGCTGCCAACCTTGACACGGACCATCTGCGACCATTCGGATGTCCAGTCCTCTGCATCCTCCATGAACTTGCGCGCAGCCACCCGCCGCGCATGTAGATCGCGATACCCCAGCGTGGAGAAGAAGCCTGTGTCGGTCGATCGGTGGGAGGAGGACGGGATCGAGATGTTGTTCTTCTTGCACATTTGCGCTTTGTACTCCAGCTCGACGGCCTTGCCAACCGCGAGCAATGCGCGCGCTGTCTTCATACCATCAGCGACTCCACCAGAGCCTTGCAGGTGCATGAGCTCCAGAATCGTGATCAGTGACAGCTTTTCTGGCGGAAGAAGCGATAGAAAGGGGCTTAAAACCACGATCTGTTTAGTATCGCCTGGTGACTGCAAGTGAACAGGTAAAACTTTGAGGATTACGGCGGAGACATACGGTGCTTTTCCTCCAGCCGTCTCAGCGTCCGCTTCTCGTCCTCTATAATGTGAGGAATCTCCGCTGCCAGCCGCGCCTGCAGTTTCTGATGCCAGGCCCACATCCACGTGCGCAGATCGACGTTGTTCAGACCCTTTGTATTTAACCCGAGCTCGTCAAACAATTCCGACTGGTGCTTCAGCTTCGCCTTTGCAACCTCGTACACAGATTCCTCGAGCAGCTTTTGACGTGCGGCAACGTCATCCGGCAAGACACGACGCGCAAAGATGACCTGTGAGAGGTGTTTGCGCAGCGTATCGAGGTTGAACGGAACCTCGTACTCCGGTTCCGGCAGTGGCTCGTTCGTCGTGAAATCGAGCACCGATCCGTCCTCCGCATGCGCAACCTGGATAATCTCTACTTGTTTCTGGGGAGGGATATCAGCCTCCTCCACATCCCTGTAGGAGATATCCACTCACTTTCAACTTGAGGACGGGCAAGGCCTCCGGAACATCCTCCAGCGGATCGACTTCTTGCCGCCCAAGCGTCTCCGCCATACCAAGTTCGTTCACCACCTTCGACATGCCCATCTCCGCCGCCGCCTTCGAGAGCAGCTGGATCGCCTGTGACGCTTCCTCGTTCGACGTAAATGCGCGGTCGGACACCACGAGCGTCGGAGGAATCTGGCGTCCAAGCATGCTGCTCAGAAGTGCCGCAGGCTCGTGCACCGCGGCGATCGGGATCTGCTGCACCGTGCCCGACGTTGGGTTGTACCGCAGCCAAGCGAGCAGCATCAGTGCGTACGTGTTCGCTGTCGGCCGTGCGGTTGCGTGTGCCTCCATCTGCGCGTACAGCACCCACGCCTCATCCAGCCAGCCACTGCGTTCGTCCTCGTCCTTCGCGCCAGCTAACTCGACGAATGCATTGAGGAGCGAGTTGTACACCCTTGAGTCGAGCAGCATGTCGCCCTTCTCGGAGCTGCGCAGCCGCTCGAAGATCTCCTTTGCACGCGGAACGTCGTAGAGATTGTGTAGGCAGGCGTCAATGACGGAAAGTTGGTCCTGCGTGGGCGAATCCGTGAAGTAGAAATCGTTCAGGGCGCTTGTTTCAGTGTTTGGTAGGGGTGTCGGCAGAATCGTGTAGGGTGTGCGCCGGCGGAGGAAGCCTTCCATTTCGCTCGAGATGCCCGCCGAGGACATAAACGTGGGCACCTCTTCTTGCTGAGCTGCGTGTGCCAGAGCAGGCGCCTTTGCAGATTTTGTGGGGGTAGAATAAAGACGTGCTGGCCGAGGAAGACTCTGGCGGGAGTACGACAGCAAAGTCGTCTCCATTCTTCGCGACACATTGCGCCTCGTGAGCGGAATCATTTTGGTTGGTAATAAGTAGGTGTTCGTCGTCGACACGCCCAGCAATCCAAGGCTCTGAACAGTCGACGAAGTACTGTGAGCGATGAGGAGGGGACACAATTTGGCGCTGGCTGCAATTACTGACCAAATTTTCCGCCACCAGTATATTTGGCAGACGCAAATAATACCGGGAAGTCCCGTTAGACAGCTTTTCGGCATTTCGTCTGACATTGGCACGTGAGGACCTTGATCGTTTACCACCACCAAGCCACTTTCGCGTTTCGCGTCGCGTCAGACCTGCGATTTTGGTAAACACGCTCTTGCACCCTCAATTACTCCAGAACTGTGCCGAACTTAGAACGTACACAGGATTTAACGCGTCACCAAGAATCGTTCACCAGCTGCCCTTCGCCACAACAGCTATGCCATCCCCCGCGAAAGGAAAGAAAGCTGGCGCAAAGTCGAACGCTGCCGCAGAGAAAGCTGAAGAGTTGTCTGCTCAACAACCTGCACAGCAGCGCGTGTTGCAGACACGTAGTCATAAAGCAGGATTGTTGGTGCGTGTCTTCTGACTATTCCTATCCATCCAGTTCGCGCCGGACGCACTCGAGCATCGGTTGAAATATTATACTTCGCGCGTCCTCTACCCGAACGCCACAATAGCAGCTGGCTGAACATCTCACAGTTTCCCGTTGGTCGTATTCATCGTTACCTCAAGCAACGAACACAGCACAACGTCCGCATAGGGGCTAAGGCGGCCGTCTACACATCTGCCATTCTGGAGTATCTCACGGCGGAGGTTTTGGAGCTGGCAGGTACGTTCTCGTCAGTTCCCTGCAACTCTGTCTCACCTAAACATTATCACTTGTCCTGGGCGCGATTAATCTTGTCCTGCATCTCACGCTTGCACAGGTAACGCGTCGAAAGATCTGCGCGTGAAGCGTATTACGCCACGCCACTTGCAGCTCGCAATACGTGGAGATGAGGAGCTCGACATCCTTGTTCGCGCCACCATCGCAGGAGGAGGTCAGTGATGCAGCTTCTTCAAGGCTCCCAACCGTGACTCACATTCTTTCGTTAGGTGTACTTCCATTCATCCACAAGAGCTTGACAGCAACCAAGAACCCAAAGAAAGCCATTGAGGGTGCTCAATGAGCTATCGACACCTCTCTTGCATCACCTCATATGAGATGAACGCTTTGCTGATATGCGACATGTTTTTTTGATGATATGTAGGTGTATGACTATACTTCCGTATGACCTTGCTGGTATTGCATCTTCTGTGTCATGATCCCTTCCGCTGAGTTGTTTGTATCCTCTGCGATGTGTATCAGAAACAGAGTACGAGTGTTTCAGGTCATTGAACACCTACGTGTTGTACAGTATTGATGGGATTTGGGGCTGTCAAAAGTTGTTGTGAAAATGCCTTGCAAACACAGGAACACCTGCAATCACTAGTGGGGGGTCAATAGTGCTCCTATAGTGGCAAGATCAAGCGACAACGTAACGAAGGCGCCGGTTCTGAAAACGTGGCTTTAGCGAGGATCAAACGCGATATATCGTTCTAGCGCGCCCTCGCCCCAGCTCGCTTCAACTATTCAACGACGTATTTGCGTCGCCAAGCATGCAGAACCGAGGCGGACACGCAGCGAGGATCTCATCCGCAATCGTCTTTAACTGCTGTGAAGCAGCCGTTACCTCGACATCCTCTGACGTTCCCCAGTTGAAAGCGTAACATGGGCAAAGTTCTGCATCTCCCCGGGATATTCTTCCTGTTCTCCGCGTTCGTGCTTCTGTTGCTCGTGTCCATATCGCTTCCATACCTCACGGTCTTCGACTTTGCGAGAGTGCACTTCAACGAGGGAGGGCCTATCTCGATAGGCTCGGACACGAATGCAGTGTCCCAGCTGAGGGTACGCATCAGGCAAATCGAAATGGGTTCCCGCGAAACTGACTTTGGTCTCGACATTAGTTCGGCATATGGTAGGGCTCTTCTCCCCTAGTGAAGACAAAGGCTTCACACGTCCATGCAGGGCCGGTTGCTGGTACGAGGCCTCGTCCGGCCACCGAGCGTGCAGCGCTGCGGGTAAGTGCAACATACCTCATGTCCCCATGCAGCCGGCAGCCTGACACCTTCCGCCGTGTGTGCGGCACAGGATACGCATACAACACGACAATGTATGCCGGCTCGACGCGCGCGGACTCTATCACGATCGGCGCGTCCTGGACGCGCGGGCTCGCAATTCACCCCGTCGCCGCGGGCATGTCACTCATCGCCCTCCTGCTCTCGCTCTCTGCGCATATCACCGTGAGGCTGCTCGCAGCGCTCGCGGCGTTCCTCGCGAGCACCATCACGCTCATCGCATTCGCGACAGACATCGCGCTTTTCGCGTATGTGAAAGAGAAAGCAAGCAAGCTTGACGGCACGACCACGACCACAGACACTGCGCCAGGTACGTTGTCTGCCCCCCTCCACTCCCTCTACGGTGTAAGCCAGAAAGACGGGCACTTACATGTTCGTTTCGCGCAGCGTTCTGGATGACCTTCGCGGCGATGCTGCTACTTTGGCTCGCGGGCGGCATGATGTGCATTGGCAGGCGGCGGGACAGAATGTCGGACGCGACGAACTATCCAATGGCCTCTAGCAAAGTCTCCAAGTCGTGGAGAGACCGATTCACCAAGGCATAGAAAATCTGCAGATCGCATCACCACAGATTTACGGAACTCTCACCCGTGTTCATTGGCATCCGAGCAACGAAGGACGCATACCCAGGATCTGACTTATTTACATCTACGTTGTCGTTAATCAGTCACACTCGCTCATCCCTAATGCCCCATCCGATATAATGCTTAACCCGATTGTTCTCAACGAAATCCAATATTCAAGCATAGTAGCCTTCATTGGTGTATGGGTGCCGTGCTCTGTCCTGCGAGAGGGATCCATCTCTAAACAAACAGTAACGCAATATTGTCGAGAACGGCATAAGCGGTGAAAGGAGATAATGCGGCAATCACTTGAGGGCAACTTGTACAGGAGTTCAGCAGAAGAAGATTCCATTTTCACAGTATAAAATTATGCACTGTGCTCTAGTGGTGCGCCGACTCTGCCTTGGGCTCATCCGCCTCTAGGAAAGCCAGGAAGGTGTCCGCACCGGTCACCAACGTCTCGGGCGAGTGCGTAGCACTAGCGGTCTGGCCAGTCACTACAGGCTCCACCGCGTCGTATGCTGAGAGCTCAGCGGCGAGGTCGGCGGGAAGAGTCGGAGGTTGCGGCGCGGCAGGGATTGAGTACGACTTGACAGCTCCGACGTGTGCGTCCTTCACCTGTAGTACACGCATATTAGTTGGATCATATCCGCATACGCACTATACGTGACACGCACCGGCGCAGGGGGCTTGTATGCCTTCAGCTCCTTGATGTACAGGTCCTGGACAAAGTCTGCGTGCCGCGGGTGAGCTGGACGCCGGTGCCAGCTGACGGCCCGTCACGCACCTTTGCGCGCGACCGCAGAGGTCGAGAAGGCGCAGGAGCGCGAGACCGAGCGAGCCTGGCCGGTACGGTGTTAGTCAACGTCGTGCATAGCATCGCACAGAAAACATACGGCGAGGGAGGCCTGCCTGAGGAGGGGCGACGACATGGTCAAGAACAAAAGTGTGACGTGACGGTGGTCACGCGTCCGGCCTCGGTTGGGCTCGGGCTGGCGCTCTCGCCCCCCGCCGAACCTGTTCGTCACCGCTCCTCACTGCATATAAGCCCACACACCCAGCTGCGCCCCCATTCACCTCGACAGCTACCACGATGCTCGCAAGAATTGTTACGACCTCCGCCCGCCGCATGCCCCGCGCGTCTCCCGCGGCGGTGCGTTTCTACTCGGAGAACTCCTTCAAGTGAGTGGTAGCGCGGTTACATCATAGCGTGGGCTAAACCTTGTTCCTGCAGCAAGAAAGAGAAGGCGCACGAAGGTCAGCACGGGGCACGCTGAGTGCTGTATCTCTTGTCGAGCTGACAGCGACCTGCAGACCAGTATGCCCGCCAACATGAGGCGGAGCAGCTGAAGAGGCTGAAGGCAGAGGTATGTATTCGTATACCCTCTGCAAGCATATACAATCCTTAAAATATGACGTAGATTGCGGCCAAGAAAGCGGAATTGGTGAGTTACTTTTTGCTGAGATGTCCTTGCATACATGATTAATATTGCGACTGTCCAGGCTAAATTGGAGAAGGAGCACGAGGAGGCCTCGTCGAAACAGAAGTGATTGCATAGCGCATACTGTTACTTTGGTTCTGGATTCATCCCATGTAGGTCCGTAGTATTACGGATCCAGCTGAAGCTGAACTCAAGGCCTTGACAGCCACGTCTTGTTTGTACAATGCATAGCATGCGAATCCATAGCGCCACGCATTCTGTTCTCGAGCGCGTTGTACCGATCAAAGAAGACACCAATTTACCAGGAATGTCAAGGTGATGAGATTGTTGGTTGCGAGACTATCTGTACGTGCACATGGTCTGTTGCACAAGCCGATTAGTCCTTCCTGCGAGATCCTCCTGGAATGGATGAAGAACAGTACCTCAACAGTTATGATGTCTGGGAATCTCAATCTAACTCTGTGTCATGGCGACCTACGTCACTTGATAGCATGTGTTTGATCATTACCTTCTTCTGTTCATGTCTCCGCGCCTTCCCATCACTTCCTGGCTTTCTCATGCTCCAGGATACCTCATGAGTGGGCTGTATGCTTGATTATCGCTTCAATCACTCTTGATATGAGGTCGTTTACGCATTCGCGGCGACCGCGATGGTGACTGATCGTCCTCAAATAGGATGGAATTGCCTTGACTCACTATAGCGTCGCACCCCTAGATTAATACAATCGTCGTCCAGGCTCAATCAGAGAAAGGAGGTGAAGAAGTCTTGCCGAAAGGGAAGCGACCGTACAGCGTATACTTCCTGCTCAACGCTGGAATTGCCAGTTTCTTCTGTAAGTATAATGGCTACTGGTCCCATCTAATACTGAGTTGTGGTTTACGTTATTGTTTTGAGACAGCTTCCTAGCAATAGCATATTTTATGCTCGCCTGTTTCAAGGAGTGGTAGTATTTCAAGGATCCGTTATATACCGTACGTCACGTTTCTCCTTCTTGTCCACACAATCTCACCCGCACTTACACACGTTCTTCTTGATTCTCACTGCCAACGCGATCTCGTAATAGGTGAAAAATACTACCAGCGACAATTACGTCTTCACAAGTTAGCTGTGGTCATGGGCCGTCATGTCAAGAACGGAATTTGAAGACACGTCTGTCAAACGTGTCCGTGTGTCGAATAGGGAGGTGCGAAGGACACCGACACTTGTATTCAAAATCACCTTCTATCGATGTCTGCATTACGCCCTTCTCACGTCGACCTTCATTTTCAGAGACGGTGTTATCATCTCCGTCCATCGCCCAACAACATCCGTAGCGCGTTTCGATAATTACGCAGGCTTAACTGACAGTCGGCTTCTCCGTGCCGTTCTGAGAGCGGTCCGTCACGACAAAGCCGTATCGACGGCCCGTAGTCATCCTGGCATCTATGATTCCTCTGTGTTATTTTTAGCATTGCGTCACTTCTCGCGTCCTCGTGCTTTGGCGATTCCTGACGAGTGTATTGTATTGCCGACTGTCAGCGAAGACACGTGCTTCGCGAATCCTGATGTCAACGGTCTGGGATTCTGCAGGATGGAAGGCGAATGTGCTGTTGTGTTCAGCCTGTTTACGCTACTGTCGCTGCTGTTACTGCTGCGCCAGAAAGATCACAAGAAGTGAGTAGTTATTACACAGTCCCATACTCAACAACGAGTGTAGCAACTCCAGGAATGAATGTGTGAAGTCCCTCAGTCCTCGGGCACGTTGCACATCTCCTATCTAAGCCCGTTGAAGTCGCTAGTCAGCGCTTCAGCGCTCGCGCACGACCTCTGAGCTTCTCTCTGGCTCGGCATGTCACGGAGGCACCTGCCACATAGACATCCATGAGAATTCAGAGTCTCTCTCGCGGCATCGGACCAAATCGCCTGAGAAGAAGCTTGCCGCGTCCAATTTCCTTCGCTGAGAAGTGGCCTAGCTCAGGCTTCTGCGTTGTAGACAATGTCCTTGAGGATCCTTGTTTCCTCGAATGTTCCCGGGCACATCCCACGGCAAACTTCGTAATACTGTGAGTTCTCGTCGAGCAGCAGTCGAGCTCAGTCTCACGCTGTACCTTCTCTCGAGCCTCCCGTACACCTGCTATACACCGAACCGAATAGTGTTGTCTGAGCACGCGGCGCGACATGCCAGACGGCGCGATGCATCTCATCAGCCGGCGCTGTCCGCAATCCCAGCCGCTGAGTGGCAATGCATCAACCTGGGAAGGCCAGATCAACGAGCCAGATATAGCACAGCAGGCTACATGCGCCCCTGATCTGACTTGTGGGGCCCGTGTACGCCCGTATACAAGTTGGCCTGCGAGCCCGTCTCCCGTTGCACCACCCGTGCATCGTACTCATCCAAGTCAACTGTCCCGTTCCGCCGGTTTCTGGATCCGCCGGTGCCCCTGGCAGGTGGACGGTGGCCCAAGGTTCGCCTTGACGTATCTCTCAGCAATTGTCTGATCCTTGCTCAGCTGCTGACAACAGACGGGGCGACAAGGGGATACTGAATTGAGCCCCGGTGGCGGTCATAAGACGGTATTATACAGCTCGGCCCGATTAACGGGCATCCGGCAGCTACTTCAGGTCTCGCCCGTAATCTCTCGCGCGTCTGCGCGTCATTCGTTCTTAGGTGCGAGTCTGGGTTCTGTAGGTCACGAAACGACCCTCCTCACTCACGACGCACTCACCTCCGTCCAGAATATTGATTTGCTGTAACTGTACACGATCACGAAAGTACGACATGCCACCCAAATTTCCAGGCAAAATTCTGCGATGCGTTGCCCAAGTCTTCGGGCGCAAGCGCAAGCAGAAGCAGCCTCGACACGATGTTACGGCCTCCACTGTGTCCCCTGCAACTCCACCGGGGCTTCCCATCGAACTGTTCGAACTTATCATCGACTTTTGCCGCTACGACCGACCGACTCTGCGGGCGTGCGCCCTCACCTGCCGCGCATGGTTGCCACGCAGCCGGTACAACATGTTCCACGACGTCGTGCTGCACAGCATGAAGCAGCTTGGGTACTTCTCCGGGCTCGTCGCCGCCGAGCCGCGCCTCGGCGCCCTCGTCAAGTCGCTGCACGTCGCCCCGTACCGTGGTCACGGCGAGGCGTACGCAACGTTCCCTTTCGTCCTCGGGGACAAGCTCTCGCGGCTCGAGCATCTTTCCATTGACCTACGGCGCGACTTCTATCCGTGCGTGCACGACAACTTCTTGGCATCCCTCTCGTGCTTCAGCACTGTGACGAGCCTCGCGCTACGTCGCGTACAGTTCCCATCCTTCCACGACTTTGCGCTCCTCCTCGCCGCGTTCCCGAAGCTGGCACACCTGCACTGCTGGCAGGTCGGCTGGGTGCGCAAGTCATATGACCCGCGCGCGTTCGCGCATATGGACTGCCGCCTGCGCCTGAGCGAGCTCACCATGCGCGGTGTGGACTGGTCCGAGGGAATGGTCGACTGGCTGCTCGCGTATACGTCTCCCGCGGCCCTCGTGCGTGTGCGGGTGCCGCTCCTCTTACCACTCGATGTCGAGCATGTCGAGCGGCTTCTGCTAGCTGCAGGGCACACCCTGCGCCACCTCGAGATAGGCATTGTACCCTTAAACAGCCTTGCCGCGCGCCACGTGCAGAGCAAGGAAGGGACTGACAGCCATATGGGTGCGTGCTAGCGACTTTGCTACAGCTGTTTTTCAGAGGTAAAATATGGACTGTATTATCCCTAGGTCCCTTCCCCCGCCTACTGCAAAACACGTGTCTCGAGTCGCTGCACCTGAATCTTTACGGCGGATCCTGGGCGCCAGGGCTGCTCGCACAGGTTGCCTCGACGCAGCTGCGTGTGTTGACGATTGGGGTGCCAACGCACGCGCGGCGGCGTAACGTGCAGCACTTCGACTGCTGTGGGGTCGACCGCGCGCTGGCACTCCCGCAATTTGCGGGCCTCGAGCGCGTCGTGTTCGAATATGACAAGGGAGCAGAGGAGGAGTGGAATAGCAAACTATGCGATGAAATCCTGCCGAGGTTCCCTATCGCGCGTGCAAAGGGTCTTGTGCAGTGCAGGGGCGGTATGTCTGCTTGTGTCTACGTCTGCGTGAAAATGTGCTGACGACGGGGTGTTTGTAGTGAAGCGAGACCCCGAGCGCGAAAACGATGTAATACAACATCTGACACGGTAGTGGCCCCCTGCCCTTTTCTCGCTCCTTTAAAAGGCTCGATCAGTTAATGTACGAGTGGACATGGATTGTGGGACATTCACGAGCGATGGACTACTGAGGACTGTACAGCGAAGCACAGCATTGTAGCGAGGACAACTTACTCTACTTTATGCATTAATAGGTAGGTGATATCTACGAAGTCAGTCCTTCTCCATAGGGACGGCACTTGTACGTGTTTTCATGAATACAAATTGACGACGTCTGCGAGTAGACCCGAGCGAGCTGCTACCATTCGAGATTTATGTATGTCAAGAGGAGAACAACACTTTTGCTGCAGTTTTGTCATAGATACTGATATCTTCTTAATTCCATCTTTCCCCAAGCCGACTAATAGAGGAATAGCAGGAAGAACTGTACCTGCAAACCAATCAGCGTAAGGACATACGACTCGGACGATCTTACTAAGTTCTCCCCATCAATCGTCTTCCTTTTTGGGGAAGTGGGTCACGTGCATTACTTTTAGTTGAACTGAAATCGCTCGCGCTTTCGAAGGGCAATACTTATTTCTTCCTTCCAATCATCACTTTGGAAGTTCACTTGTTTCCTTCCCTGCTGCATATGACTGAGGCTTGAAAGGGTAATGGTGTAGGGGATACAAGGAGTCTCTCCCCAAGCAGTCTTATAAGTGAGTCTAACGTTGCCCTAAGATTATAGAGGACTTGACACTTACGGTTTATTCCAGTCTATAGCTCGATAATACACGTTCCTTGGCAGCTGCATCTCTTCTCTTAATCAATTATGAAGTCTCCTCGAACCAAACGCCAAGACCTCCGCCGCGCGGCAGGCTTCGCCAACAAACCATACAGTACTAACAGCAAAAATAAGCGGAAACCGAAGAAGTCATCCACGGACCCTGAGGAATTTCACCCTGCTCATGCTACCAAACCCGCGAATGTCAAGGCCTCTCCTGACTCTGGCCCCATGTCGAACCTTGGCATGCCGTCTCGAGTTCAGTACAATTGCATCGAAGAGGATTATCTCAAGTCACTTCACATTCGCAAGCGGGAGAAGGCACTACTTAATCAAGCTCTCTTCGACAAAATCTGGGATGTTCTGCATGACCCTCAGTCTATTCTGGTCGGCACTCCTCAGTTTCGCTGGTGGGTTAGGAAGATGTTTGTGCTGTCTTACACGCGCTCGACCTTGTCGTCCGTCGAAACGCACACGGTCGAGGACTACAGTGCCGATTCTGTGCCTGTGGTCCTACATGAGAACCGCCCTGTCGCTCTTAAAGATCAGATCTATGATGTGCTTTGCTACTGCCATGACCTTGCAAAGCACGGCGGACGCGACAAGACTACTGCCGTTGTGCGCGAACACTACTCGTGGATTCCCAAGGAATTAATCGCTCAGTTCGTCAAAGCTTGTCCAACCTGTGTCTACAAGAAAACGGGAAATGTTGACCTAGCACTCGCAATGAATACCACGGAAGGACTTCCTGGTGCAGATGCATGCAATGAGCCATCTCAAATACTCTCAATGCCATCTGAAGAGCAGTCTCAGAGACGCGTCACCACCCACTGTGTCTCACTTCGGGTCTCAGACTTGATCAGCCGTGATTCTGCGTCTCCCTCGCGCGACTTGACTCAGTACTGGCCGACCACCTCTGGACCTTTACATTCGCCTGCACCTGTCCATCCTATGCCTCCGCTCCAATCTTGGATGGATACTGCGTTGTACAACACACAAGATACCTCTTCACATGCCTCTGAGGGTTCGTCTACTCTCGTCTCTGGCACGACTGCTGCGTCTGGTTACTACAAGTTTACCTACGAGCTACCTCCAATGCGCAAGCATGGCAGCGATAATGCTTCGTACGATCACGCAGGCTTGCGACTTCAAGGCCGTGGAGTCACTCTACCGCCCATCACCAAGATGCTTTCCGAAGGCGCAGTCAGCAAGGATAAACTTGTTCTGCGCCCAACGCTGAACGTGCCTGACGGCTTCGGCCTGTCGCCCCCGCCTACGTCCTCGTCAGCGCTGCAGCAGTGGTACCACGGAGGCTACAACGATCGACCGCACGAAGGAACAAGCCAAGTTCATCATCGCTTCGATGCTGCGCTGTCGATCGATCCAGCTTTATTGCAGCATGACGACGTCTTCAGCGTGCGACAGCCCCTCTCCTCCGGCAACGATTTCATGATCTCCGGGTCTGGTTCTCTGCGGTCTCTAGCCATCTCCCCACTGCGCGGCCACACAGCACTGCGTTCGCTCGGATCCTTTGGTGGCTCTTCCTCTCTCGAAAACCTCGCTCTCTGTGCTGGTTCACTGTTCGCTCCAGATAGGCATGAATTACGATCCAATATCGGTGAACCTCTTTTCGACGCGTCGGATGAGCCGCCTCGATTCGGATTTCCCACCTCACTCGAACGAGATGAGTACTCGCTGACGGTCAGGGCTTGAGTAGAAGCTGAGCACAACCTCTTCATCGGAACTCTGGACTTATCGCCCATTCATTCGCCAATGTACTGTCATACTTGACCTTGCCATGTAATTTAGACCATTCCTACGTTGTACATATAACTAGCCATCACCACTACGCCAGATCTATTCGTTTTTGCCAACTATTACCGGAGGAGTGCATCGTCCATGTCACTTCACGAAGACGTCCGTCCAATGACACTGGGTTTTCCGCCATGCATGCTAGAATAAGAATACGATGACTGGTATATATAACGAGGGACGACAAGCGCGGAGAGGAGTTGCATGTACGTATTGAGGTATGCTATCGCGAAACCACTAGGCGACCAAGATATTGGGAGAAACAAAGGGTATGCATCAGTGAGGGAACACCGCGATACCCGGAAATGGTGAGAGGGAGAGCATTGCAGCTAAGACAACATTGCACACGGGAAGAACAGAATCCAGAAAATAGCTAGAACACCGAAGCGACGATCAACAAAGAATGGCTATTAGCGATGGTGATAAGTAGAGAAGGCCGGGGAAATGTAGAAGGAGCCGTGGTACTTAACGAGTGATAAAATCGCATGATTCATGATAAGAGAATGTAGCCTGCCTGAGGCTCATCCCGCGCGCTGAAGGTCAGCGCGTCTGAAAAAGTATTAGTAGTTAGATCATGCACAACAATGTAGGGATCACGTACTGTCTCAAGGTATCATATACAAACTTGTAGCTTCTCAAGTTGCCTTTCAACCTGCGAATATCTAAGCTGTATGTGTCGTCGAGTCGATCAATCCGCGTCAATTCCACAGAGAATCGGATCTCGTCTCCTTGATCTTGCTGGTAATCACCGTAGACAGACTCGAGAGCAATAGGTGCATCTGAGCTATGTCCGGCTGGCACCGCAGCAGCCATCAGGGCGTCCGGCGTGGTATCACCATCATGGAGATTAGCTCCATGAATGAGAGAAGAGGTCTGCGAAGACTGTCGCCGCATAAGGAGGCCGCGAAGCATGCCACCCGTTGATCCGAAAGCTACAGGAGGCTGAGGGAGTCCGCGCTTGTCGACCTGTGCGTAGATGTTATGTCACAATACTTGAAAAGAAATACCAGCACCTACACCATTGGAAGCAGCAGACCCTGTCATAGAGAAAGCCGCAAGACCATTGCCCGTGCCTTCCCGTATGCCAAGCCCGACGCCGTTGCCCTGCTTTCTTTTCTTCGGCCTGACACACCGATACTTGTATTCGGTCTCGACGACAATTTCGACACCCATGCCCTCGAGCACTTTCCGCACATGCTTCATAACCTCGGGGGGTAAATCTGTTGTGACAGTTGTTTGATCCAGAGGTCCATGATGAGTACGTATATCCGGATATGCACGTGTAGCCTTGGGAGCACCCCCTCCAATCCAACGGATGCGGAGGCCTGTGCCACCGATCGAAGCCTCTGTGTTGGTCGACGGTGAGCGTATCGGGTGCCCAGTCGCAGTGGATGAACGAGTATTCTCAGAGGTCGGAGTGAGCATAGCACTAGGAGCGGCCGCTTTACCAATTGTGACGGAGGGCGAAGGAGTGGTACCGCGTGGCACGGTCTCAATTTCAGGGGCAGCTTTCTCGCTTTCATCATCGGTCGCCGCCCTACCCTTGCTCTTACTTCTGAACCACTGCATGACCCTGCTGGCCTTGACTGTGGAGGCCGGAACGCCTAACCGCTCAGCCGTAGATGGAGGAGCACGCATTTCTGCGCGCGAGCGGTCTCCGAGGGATGGTGTTGCTGGAGGACCAATGTCTGCATTAGCCGACTTGGGTGGCACAGCTGGGGCTGCCGGAGGCTTTTCAGAGACAGGAGTTTCACCAGTAACGACTCTACGGCCTGGGCGGGCTTTGAAGCTTCGACTAATTGGCTCGACCATGACAGTAAGCGTGTTCCTCCTGCTCTTCTTACTAGCGCCGTCTGGGCTCAACATCAAAGTGGTACTGGTATCCGCAGCGGTAGGGGAAACGGGTGAGACAGGAACCTGTAGAGTGGAGGGACGTCTGTTAACATCGCCCTTGCTAATTGTGTCCGTTGACGAGGTGCGTCCAGGCCCATTCTTCTTGTTTTGTGACGGGACACGGGTGACCGAACCATTGGACTGCTCGCCAGAGCTGAACAGCTTCGTGATGCCGATTTTGTCGATAGACAAGCCTCGGCGATGACGGCTTTGTTTGGACGACGTTGAATCCGTCTTCTCCGACTTTGAAAGTGGCTTTTCGTCCGCGGAGACGATTGGCGATACAGGAGGACCCGTGACTTCGATTGACACGGCGGGAGGAACGGTCGGAGGACTAGCAGGTGCTGTCGAGGACACAGTTTGAGAACGTTGCCGAGCCGGCGATTCCGGCGGAGCGGGTAGGGACTTCTCCGTGGCCTGTGCAGCGTCAACCGATGGTCTCCTATGACGCCGCTCTCGCTCACGGACGGAGCCAGATGGCCCAGTATGTGTGCCGTTCGCAGTGCTATTCGTTCCCTTCTGTGGAGTCGGCTGAGAGTCGGATTCGCCATATTCCACTTGGATGGTGTGTCTGAACCCGTCCTTCTGCCGCTTGTTCTCCGGGGATGTCTTGACTGGGGCAATGGTGGGAGCGGGTGTAGAGGATTTTCGGGTGTAATTACCGTCCTGCACGTCGGCATCTCGTGCATCTCGGGCTGTGCCGGTGAGAGGTGATGATACCATTGGCACTGGTATATCTTGCGACGCCGGCGCGAAGGGATCATCCTCTGCAATATGCGACCCAGTAGGGAGAACGATTGCTGAATTGAAAGCGCGACGCGAGGCACTCGGTGCAGCCGACGTGGAATAAACAGACTGATCGGGAGACGCCTCGTACAGATACTCTCGTTGCGCAGGCTGGTCTCTGGTGGCACGGGAGCGCGATGGCGAGGCTGCAACGGGGATGTTTGAGTAGTCTGTGCGTGCACTGTGACTGCGTGAGATCTTGCTCGACGCTGTGTCCTGCGGCTGCGCTTGCTTCATCTGACGCTGGTATGCCAACCTCTTCTGGTGATGTTGTTCCATCGCTGTGCGCTCCAATTCAGACACGCTCTTCTCGAACAGAATCGCGTAAGGCGAGAGCCATGGATGCGTCATTATTGTGGTCAGATCCGCGCGTCGCGTAGGATCTGGCACCAGCATGATAGACAGCAGGTCCCGAGCTTCTGCGGAGATGTAGTCGGGGAAAGAAAGAGCGGTGTTGACAATATACTTGTACAGCAGGTTGATATTGTCTCCGTCTGGATTGGCCGGGTCATCGTCGAAGGGCAGGTAGCCAGCTAGCATGGCATACAGTATCACCCCGCAGGACCAGATATCAACCGCAGAGCCGACATACAAGCCGTCTGAGATAACAAGCTCTGGAGCTGCATAGCAGGGAGAACCACAGCTGGTCTGCATGAGATCATCGGCGCGATGTTCGAATCGGTTGGCAAATCCAAAGTCAGTGATAATGACGTTCCGGTGTCGATCCAAAAGCAGATTCTCCAGCTTCAGATCGCGATGCACGATTTTCTTCTGGTGAATGTACCAAACACCCGAGATCAACTGCGAGAAGAGCTTGCATGCGTCCTTCTCCCGGAGGTATCGGTGGGCGAGGATGTGGTCGAACAGCTCACCACCAGACGCGTATTCCAGGATAATGCCAATGTACTTGTCTGTCTCAATGACGTCGTAGAGACGGACAATATTTGGGTGTTTGAGCGACTGCGCAAGAGGAGTCAATAATACCCACGCATCACTTTGGCCAAGGAGTGACGCACCCGCAAGACCTCAATCTCCCGCTCGACCTTCGACATGCGAACGGTCGTGTCGATATTCCCCCTCCGAATCAGTTTAACCGCGACCTCTTCGCCATACTGTATGTGCAAGCCAAGCTTGACCTTGCCGAACTCCCCCTCGCCCAGCGTCTGCAGCAGCAAATAGGGCCCGAACTTTGGTATCGTTCGCCTCGGATGCGCGGCAGCGTACTCGAGAGCGGCAGGATGGGAGTAGATGTCACGATATGCGGGCTGCTCCTCCTGCTGCGGCTGGCTGGTCACTACTGTATGCGATGCGCGTTTTCTCGTGGCGGCCGGCGAAGCGGAAGAGGACGTCGGCTGCACCGATGCAGGCCGCGCTGCATGACGCGACGGCCCGGGCTGAGATGTGTCGGGAACTTGCAGGTTAGACGACTCCATGTTGAGGACCGCGGGTCAGCGCTGAGTGGGTCGCGCTAGATTTTGTGCGGGCGTGGAAGCTAAGGTTGAAAAGAAGACTTCTGGTAACGACGTGTGCTGGTTGTCATGCCGCAAGTACTCATCCGAGGTGAGACAACATACCCACAAGCAATTCACGGACAAAAACAAGAGAGTGCTGCTCGTCGTCGACGACAGCGACGACGATGATGGTTAAGAGAGCGAGCAGGACCACCGCAACCGAGAGCACCGACATTCCCTTATTTGGGGTAAACGTTGCTGACTAAGAGGCTGTACTAGGTTGACTAAGACATCAAACCTTTCTGGACTTCTGAATAGACTAACCTTTTTCATTCATTCATTCGAACAGTAAAAGGTATATGCGTACTCGTACATCTAATATACGTCTTCTACATTTTATACCTGGACCCAGTACCAGTGATTCCGTTTAGACGTGCAACTCGGCTTTCTCGCCTTGCTGAATGCTCGCTTTCAGCTCCTCGTCAGCAAGCGCAGGCTGAACCCATTCTTTCAAGAATTTGTCCACCTGCTCCGGGGCGCGTCCGATGAAACTCTTGGGTTCTAACAACTCGTCAAGCTGCCCCTTGATCGGATCGAAATACGAGTCCGCCTTGACGCGGTCAATCAGGTCATTCTCAAGGCCCAGTGCTTTTACCTGGTGTCCTGCCTCGTGGGAGAGCACCTACAAACGGACAAACATGTTAGTTCTCTCCGTTCAAGCATCATGAGAGAAAAACGACATACGCGAATCTTCTCGTGCGCCTCTTGCCGGTCGCCGCCTTGCTTGACCATGGCCATGATAATGTTTTCTGTAGCCATGAAGGGCAGCTCTTGCGCAATGCGACGGGCAATGACCTTCGGATACACGACAAGTCCCTCGGATACATTCTGCAGCGTTGTGAGCACAATGTCCGCTGTAAGGAACGCCTCGGGCAAGGTGATGCGGCGGTTCGCGCTACATCGTTTAGAACTTTTAGAATACGTGTGATACCCGCATCACAGGGGCGTACCTGTCGTCAAGAGTGCGCTCGAACCACTGCACACTGGAGGTCATGAGGGCGTTTTGGTGGAGGACCATCAGATGTCGGGACAAGCTACAGATGCGCTCCGAGCGCATGGGGTTGCGCTTGTACGCCATGGCCGACGAGCCGATCTGAGTCGATTCGAAGGGCTCCTCGACTTCCTAGCAATGCAAATGGCACCATTGATTATTTGGAGCTGGCTGCGTGCCCGAATGTCAGCTTACCTTCAAATTGGCGAGCAATCTCAGGTCTGTTGCGAGCTTGTGCGCAGTAGCGCCAAGACTCGCAAGAGGAGCGAGGACATCGACATCAATTTTGCGGGAATATGTCTGCGAGGTAACCGGGTATGCGTAGCCGAACCCGGAAAGTTCTGTAACACGGCGGTCGAGCTCCTCGACCTTCGAACCATTGTCAGTGAAGGATATAGAGATTAAACAGCTTCTACGTACCTTCTCGTGGTCGCCGTCGAACAAAGCGAGAAAACTGGCTTGTGTACCGGTTGTACCCTTGACTCCCCGGAAGCCAATGTCATCTCGCGCTCGCTTGATGTTGCGTAGGTCCCACAGCAACTCCTGTTGTGTGTTCAGCATGGGTATATTCTATCGGTTTTGGAGGTGATTCAAACCTGCAGCCATAGCGTAGCCCTCTTACCGACAGTCGTCAACTGTGCTGGCTGGAAGTGAGTGAAACCGAGAGTGGGGAGGTCGCGATACTGCGCGGCGAAGGCAGAGAACCTGTCAATGACGACGGCAAGCTTCTTCAAGAGGAATGTTAACGCCTCGCGGATGAAGATGAGGTCCGCGTTACTGAAAAGTGCAAGTCAGGTCTTGTCATATTAACGAAGCACAAATGCTACGCACTCCGTCACGTAACAAGACGTTGCGCCCAAACTCCATATATCAGGGATGTCAGGCCTAAGGAGAGAACATGGGATTTGGGGCGCACTGGATGATACCCGCAGCCGCCGGGGCAACTTGACCGAACGTGTGGACGTGGGCCATTACATCATGACGGCGTTTCTTCTCTTCTTGTGCGGCAATCTCAAATTGCGCTGCGTCGAGGTCCTGTAAAATCATGATGCAACGATCTTCAAAATCATCATGGGGTAAACTCACGAGGTTCGCCTTCATCTGTTCGATCGCTTCGTCCGGGATCGAGAGACCAAGCTCCTTCTCAGCGATGGCCAGGCTGAGCCACAACTTCCGCCATGCTCGAAAGCGGTTCTAGAAACAATTATGATTATGCGTGTTTCTTATTCATGCCATGTAGAGGGGAGTAGCGTACGGCCGGAGAGAAAAGGTAAGCCATTTCCTTGCTCGCATAGCGGCTGCAGGCAATATCAGACACATAGCAACGTTTCAAAGGATTTCCGAAGACCTTGAAAGCGGTGTCTGGTAGGTGTCGAAATTCTCCATGGCGTGTGTGGCCGGCGAGCTCTCTACAATCCCAGAGTATTGAGGCGCGTACACTGGAAAGTCGATCTCTGCAAAATCAAATTGATCTGCGACTCACGTGGCAGAGCGATCGACCTTGTTAATTCGGCGCCCATGTAATTGATCGCAGACGTCTGAGACCGCGAGAGTCTAGTGGCTTTTGATCCGTGCATCATGGGGTATATGAATGCAATTCGTAGTAGTATCAACAGACTTCCCATATATCACACACAAATACAAAGCTCAAATTCAACATTGTTACTACAGGTGAGTTCGTGGTCGTACGGATACCTAGGTGTCTGATCGCCGGAAATGATTCAGTGTCGGAAAGCCTACTTGCAGAGTATGCAATTCAATGCTTCACCCAGACCGGAATTCGGACTGAGAAACTCGAAATGCGTGCCAGGAAATCCGTATACTTCGATGTCTTCCGTCCATAAATCAAGGTCGAACGTGTCTGATGCGTCTTGCGCGTAAATTTGTGTCCTGACGCCGTCATGTGCTTTCATCAACACCGTGCGCTGAGCCGGCCATACAAATGACTGGAAGGTCCCGTCGCGCCGCAACTGGTCTACCTCCATGCTTGCACGCACTCCCAACAAGATGTGTGCAACGTACGCCTGACAGAATCTTGCAACCCATTTGAGGCCTTGGTTACCATGGCTGAAGTAATCTGCGAACTGCTGGTGAATCTCTTCGGTATCATCGAGCGATCCACTCCTCGACATATCAGCGACGGCTTCCATGATCTTCGTGTAGCTCGATCAGCGTGTATTCGTGTTCGCAATCGTGTATACCGCTCACATTGTCACGCAGGGATCCATCCTTTATCGTTTTCTTTGTGTATTCTCGGGATTGTTCCCTTTGAAACAGTGTAGGTGCACCATCGAGGAAAACCAGTACCTCCACTGTCTCTCCAGCTGCATGTAGCATTTGAGCTAATAGAAATGCAACCACTGTGCCTGTGTAATGACAATTGAATGATGATAGTGTGAGCATTGAGCTAACCAACTGACCGAACGAAAACCCGCCAATGCGATATGGCCCTTGTTTTTGCTTCTGCTTGATCTTCTCGAGGTAGAATGCCGCTAGGCGTTGAAGACTTCCCGTGATAGGCGCGTCATGCGTATCCTGTACCCCGGAGACAGGGACTTCGATTCTCTGCGCAACCTTTCGTAGGACGCTGACGCCACCCCCGGCGCCATGAATCACAAAAAATGGGCAGCCCGTTGCTACGTCGTTGAGGTGCACAATGGTCTGGCCACCGCTGTCCTCGCTCTGGCGGGCTGCCAAGTAAGTGCTCTGAGAAGTGCTAGTCGAGACTGGATTTTCTGGCGTTGAAGCCGTATCTTTCTCTGCTTGTATGGACAACAATCTCTGCACTGCAGGCGAATGTCAACATTTAACAGCGGCAATGCTGGATCGGCTTTACCTGTCATGTGACCACTTAGAAGCTGTAATTGTGTGACATCGACACCGAATTCTGCCCTAAGTATTCCACTAAGACGGGCGGCGATGAGAGAGTCCAATCCATAGCTAGACAAAGGAATCGTCTCTTCGATGTCATTTACATCCATTGAGAGTATTTTGGCGCAAACCGCGCGCACGATTCCTTCTTGCGATACGTTGGAGACAATGGCACCCCAGGCAGGACCTGTCAACGTCAAGAAGACCCCCTTAGGGGTGGTGCGAAATGGGTCTGAGGGGATCCCTCCTCGAGGATCCCCTCCACTGTAACCCAAATAGGATATAGGGGCATCCCATCGCCATCTAGGTGCCCTCGCCGCCACCATCCTAAGATGGTACGCAGATGGTACACCGACCCTCCTCCATGAGGCTTCAAGTCCTTTGCATCACATGTTATGTCTCTAACATCCTCCCCTAGAATGGCATTTGTTGCCTGTCTTGATGGGAGTGCACATTCGCTCCTTTTACTAGTACTTAGTAATTTATGTACATCACACCTGTAGTACACGATAATCACTCTCAATATCATTGTTTTTACTACGAAGTACTTTACACAAGATCAAGATGAGGGCCTGGGTAGCGAGTACATTGTACACAAGATTGACAATACATCATGACGGTACCTGCGAAATGCATCAAGCCTGCATGGAG